TCGGCGGGGGGAGGAGGGCAGTCGGGCGGCTGCTGACCCTCCGGTTTGGGCTGCCTTGCAGAGAAACGTGAAGCGCAACGGGAGCAGGAGCTGTCTGAACAGGAGCCGGTTTGGTTCCCGTGAGAGGGACTGGCTGAAGGAGGACGTGGGCCGGGGCTGCGTGTATGTTTATGGAAGAGACCCTGCAGCCGCTGCTTCTGCCTCGGACTTGCGCTTGGTCCTCTGCACGGTGGAGACCCCGGTGTCCGAGATCTGCGATGGAGAAGGGAGAAAAAACCTCTACTTGCAACTTCATGGAGACCTGGTCAGGTGAGGGCTGAGAAAGGGTAAATCTTGTTTTGAGAAATGTTTGCTTTAGCCTTGCGGGGCTCTGTTCGCTGTGTGCCCGTGCGTGTTAGCAGAGCAGAGGTGGCAGGTAGCAGTTAGGTACAGCCTTGAGTAATGCAATTCATAAAAAATGAGGTAGTGGTGTGCCTTTTGCACGTCTCTCAATTAAGCCACGGGTGGTTTAGCTGGGAGGGTTTGGATGGTGCTCCAACCAGAAACATGTCCTCGCTGTGTAGGCAGAGGCTGCTGTGTCTGTACTCTTCTGTTACCTTCTATGTCACAGACATTTTAGCATCCAGAAAACGTAAGCTATTTAAGATGTTGTAAACAGTTATTCTGAGTCAGCAAAACGTGTAAGGTACTTTCGCAGTTATGTCATGTAATATTTATGCGTTACTAATTTTTTTGCTAAGAAGAGTTGCCAGGTAAATAATTAAAGGCAGACAGAAAGATAGCGTAGTGAGGGTTATACAAAGAAGGCTTAAGCATCAGATTATATGTTTTATGCCTGCAGTTGATTTAGGCTGAAAATAGACAGCTCAGGGTTTAACATGCATGACCTTTATGCTGTGGGTGTAGCAGGGACTCCTCTAGGTTTACAAGCTCCCATTAGGGTTGTTAGGATTTAAACTTGGCATTGAGTCTTCTGGACTTAACGTTCAGTTATAAGGTTGCCACTCCTGTTCTCAGGGGAAAAGAATAAATTCTGTCGTCTCCTTACCTGAAGGTTAAGCAGTAGAGACAGTACATGCCTCGTAGCTGGTTTTCTGACATGAAATGAAAGTCATGAGTTGCATGTGTCCAGATTTTAAAACCACGGTATGAGGGAGGGAGTGCTACTGACGAGAGAGGCAGAGAATGGGGTCTGGTTAAAACTGACTGTTGAAAAGCGTTATTTAGAACCGTTGGCCTTGACCAGCCTGAGTTATCGGAACAAAGGATAGGTTAGTTATAAATACTGTATGAGGATAGATAGACACTTGAACGTAGCCATTGAGGCAGCTGAAAATCTCCATTCACTGAAGAATTTATAAGGAGGTTGGTTTGTTTTGGACCATAAGAGTGAGCAGATTTTCGAGCATTCAGAAAGAAGAGACAACCCTTTACTGCATATCGTGAAAAATGCTAGGTAAAGCTGGTAGATAAGAGTGAGCAGATTTTCCAGCATTTAGAAAGAAGAGACGACCCTTTACTGCAGATCGTGAAAAATGCTAGGTAAAGCTGGTAGATGTGTTCAGAGTGGAAGGTTTTGGCTTTTTTTGGCCTTTGAAATGGCTTTTGTGTTTGAATTCTTTTCAATATCTGTCTCTCTTCTCGTGCTAGGTGACCATGCCTGTGTTTGATTTATGGCAGGCTTTGCACTGGATTAACAAATTGGTCCTGCTGCCAGTGTTTTGGAAGAAAGTACTGAGTTGTAAATGTTTACTTCCCGCTCTTGTTGCCTCTCAGTGTGTCTAGCATTTTGTCAAGCTTTGTCTTAAATGTCATTAAGAGTTCTTGTTCACGGTGTGTCTCTTCCTTGTAATTCCCAGGATGTATTTTCTGCAGAGGAGATCCCTGAATTACTTCCCACTGGGGGTGTTCTCAGCAGAGAAATGGGAGTTACCGGGATTGCTTCAGTAACATCTGTGTTAGTAACAGGAAGCAGGCCTGGATGGTACCTGCTTCCATGTCCACAGGAAGATGACAAAATGCTCAAGATATCCTTGTGCACTGTTGAGATAATTCCTTCCTTGAACAAAGTTTGCTGATTACTTTAATAACATGCTTGCGAATACAAATTACTCTGTTAAGCATCTGATTGCATTTTACTGTAGGTACGGTTGTTTCCCAAACAGCTTCTGAAATCCTCACCCATTTAATATCAATGGGTGACTTTCTTTCAGAAGCTAAGGCAAAGGTTGATTTGGCACCTGACTCAGAATACAGAAAGCTTGACAGTAAATGGAAGAATAAGAGAAACCTTTTTTATGTATTCACTTCAAATATTCAGTGGTGTCCTTGTGATCATTTTGCATTTCCTTTTCAAGCCTGTGCACAGGGGACTCAGTTTCTTTCAGAACTTTCTTTTCTTCTCCCCAGTGCACCTCGAGGATCTTTAGAGTTCTAGTTAGAATCTTTCCCTGTGTTAGTGTCCTTTCATATTCAGAAATCATGCCTTTCTGCTAGGGGAGGATTAAACAAAAATAGAACATACCTTCTTTGGTCTGGACACCCCTTATAACAAAAATTTAAACTACTAAGATTTGAAAACTTGACTGTTGCTTGTGAAGAAGAGCTACAGTTGCAGCAGGACGTGTGGAACTGTTGCTACTTTTTGTTGGCTTTTCCATCTCTTCACCCTTTGCACCTTCACGTAACAGAGCCGCTTCTCTGACTAGTGGAAGCATCCAGTACCTGATATGTGATACTGATGCGGATATAATGGGCTGTTTGTCTCAAATAGCAGCTGCTGTGGCAGCCAGGGTGTTCCCCGCGTGTGCTGCCATTCAGCGTGTAATGCATTGGCTACAAGATGAATTTTTACATTTCTAACGTGATCACTTGCCAGTTTGAGTTTCACTCCACACTGCTTTCTCTCAAAGAGAGAGCACGTTTTTTTTTACCTCAAGCTTTAACTGTTGCTTCTGGAACCTGTCACCCTTGATCATGTTAGTAAAGAAATTCTCTGGTGAAGCTGCTGTTTCAGATGCTGGTTTTGGTTTTCCCTTCCGTGGCCTATCCTGGATTTTGTTAGTGAATCACATGGCTCTTGACGAGAACTTGGACCAGTGATCCATTCAGTCAGGTCTCCAGAATTTCTCCAAAGGCATTAAATGAATTGTTCCCTTTCCTCAATTGAATATTGTCCGTAAGTAACGAGCTGATTTGCTCATTTACTTCATTTACAAAGCCCTGTGTGGGACCTGTGAGTGTCATTAGCAAAACGCCTGGACTCTGCGCTGCTGTTTCCTGGGTCACAGACCCAGCTTATGGCTGGTGCTAGAAGAGTAGTTCGGCCATGGGCTGGGAGTCAAGCCCCCTTCTCACCAGGTTTTCATGCTTGAAATGTGTAACACCAAGCCATGCTTCATCTGCGGAGAGGTCAGTCATTGCCTCCTGCGTACATGGGACTTTTTAGGTGTAGATTTTTCTGTAAACTCACACTCTTTTGCCAGGTACTGAACTTTGAACCACCTGTGGTGTTTTGCAGACAAGTTGAAGAATTCAGAAGAGTTAACTTTTTGGCAAGGCTGGTCTTCTAGCCAGTGGCAAGCAAATCTAGATGGTGCAGTAGTACAGACTACTCTTTTGATTGGTTTTCAGATAGGAATGGTACAATGGCAAGAGCGATACATTTGGTAGGGCATTACGCTTATAGATATTACTGTCAATGTTCCTTTTATACATGGCTTTTTTAGAAAAGAAACAGAACTAAGGGCATTGTGTTTGATAACTTCGATTTGTGTGGACAAGAAAGAAAATAATTAGCATTCTGAAACCCTGCAGCATTAATTCTTGCTGAAGTGAAAGATGAGAAGAACAAAAATAATGAAAAAATCAAATCTCCTCTCCAGAAGGAGCAAGTATGGTGGGATGGAGTATCCAGCTTTTTCAGGCGGGTAAACCACAGTACTGTACCTCAGAGAGTATTGAGCAACCTGTGGAACTGTGATTTAATTTGTGTGATATGAAAAGCATTTATCCCTTTACCATATTAAGGTTCTTCCTGAATTCTGATGTGCAAGAAGTATATTGTTCAATGTGTACTTGCAAAAGCCTCGGTCTATCCAACAACCAAATTGTAATGTTTTTTCCCTAGGAAATTTAGATGCAGACTAGCTGAAGTGTTCTTTTTGTGAGTAACACTCAAGCATTTGTGGTTTCCCAGCCAGGGATCACATGCTGGAAAAGCTGTTTTCTGGCAAGCATAAGGCTTTAGCAGGAAAAGAATTGGAATCTAGGGGTAGTCAAGGGAAACTTAGGCAAGGTATTTGGAGATCCAGTCAAATCTCTTATATTCTTGGATTCTGAGCTGAAGGGTATAGAATACATCAGGGTTTACTGTAATGGAAATCAGCATTATTTTGTGCAATCTACTATTTATTCTAGTTTCTAGTGGCTTGCCTGTTACAGGAGACAGACGCACAGGTTTGTCATTTCCAAGATTATCCCAGAAAGCTATTTTGAAAGTGTCATATTCACTTCTGCTCTGCGTGTAAAACAAAAGGAGGGGAGCAAAGTTGCCCTAGTCAGGCTTAGCAGATGTTGAGCAGTAAGAACTGGTTTTCTGGATCAGCTGTACATCAACTACATTGTCTTTTTAGGCTAGAAACTTTTTGGTTTGGACCATAGCTTTGAAGAGTAATCCTGTTTCCGATCCAGATGTCCTATGTGTGAAGTGAAAGAGTTACAATGTATGTGCTTGAAATACTTAAGATAATTTTATTTCTTGAGGTGTGTCCTGTTGACTACAAAGGAAGTCTGGATGACTAGATACTTGCAAATGGTGCATGTTTTATGAAATCAGTCCTGCCTTAATTATGAGATGGCATTTGTAAAGCTGTGAGTATAAGCATTAGAAAGAATCAGAAATATTTTTGTTCTTCAGTTGAGAAGAAGCGGAAAGGTTTGGTATACACAGTAATAAAATATTTCACGTTAAGACATGCAGTATAAGTGATGTATGCAAGTCAACAAAGTTTAGTAGAAAACAGGTCTTACTGAACAAACTTGATCTTGATGCTTTGAAATTTCAACCTTGGTCGCCAAAGGCGTTACTCATTTGTTGCAGCGTGTGATGTTGGACGGGGCTCTGAGCAACCTGATCTAGTTGAAGATGTCCCTGCTCGCTGCAGGGGAGTTGGACTAGATGACTTTCAAAGGTCCCTTCCAACCCAAACTGTTCTGTGATTCTGTGTTCTGATGTCATTGGAAGAACAGCAATGCAGAAAGCAATAAAACCCATTGGCTGATACCTTACAAATTGGAAACTGTTATTCATTGCAAGCGTTTTTTTTTTGGATGAGGGGTTAGTGTATGTCTGAACAAAGAAAAATAAACCTGCACTGTTCAGCTGCTCTGTTAATAATCTGTGGCTGAAAGAAAGGTAGCAACCTTGGAAGGCATAGATGGAATGATGAGTTCTGACGAGTCACTGCAACTGGTTGATCTAGATGGTTTAGTATACAGTATTCTCTGGAAAACACTGTTTTTCAATATTGCTGGATACATTTATCACAGAATCTTCATGGTTGGAAAGGATCTTTGAGATCATCAAGTCCAACCATACACACACAAAAAAAAATATGTAAAAACCAAGTGTAGTAAATGCTAAAGAGGAGAGGAAGGAAGCTATAACCTGCAAAAACTGCAATTCAGAAGGACTTGTGGGTTGAAAGGATATGAGTGAATGTGCCAAATGGTTGACAGCGGTTTTAATCCAGGAATATAAGTACTGTTGAGCAGAACCAACAAGTTTCTGTATGGTTTTGTGTAGGCAGTGCAAGGATACAGCAACAGCCATGGTTCTAGTGCTTACAGGTTCTAGTGCTAAAAAAAAAAAATCAGTGGTAAAAATTATTTTTAGTCAAATAAACCCACCCTACTGCAAGAAAATTTAAATGCACATTGAGCCTCATCTTGGAAAGACAGTTCGAAATGGTTATTCTCATGATTTATAAACACCTGCTTAAAGAATAGGTGACAAGTTGAGGTTCAGTGACCGTAATCTGAAAGTAGGCACTTTTAGATTAAAAATGAGGATTTTTAATGGTGGATAATGAGTGGACCACTGGAGCAATTTATTTTAAGTCCTGTCTTACTTTTTCAGTGCTTAATCTTTTACACTAAGATTTTTTTTTCCCTGAAGTAAAACTTCAAATTTAGCAAGAAACTGTTATTTTTATTGCAGAAAATAACAATTCAGTGTCTCTAGAAGAAGTGACATGAGAGGATCAGAAAACATCTTTTCTGCTCTGAATATACTAAACCTGATGTTTCAGGAGAACTTTCTTTTATTGCCATTTATTCACATTATCCACTGAATCATTTCTATGATATGTTATATTCTAAAAATGCTCTTTTTTAAATGTGCCATTTGAGTTAATTTGCCAAAGCATGAGAATCTTGCACTGATGAGAGCTAAAGAGAATGGGGAAATGTCTTCTTTCTTTTTAGAAATCATTCTTTAAGAGGATTCTTATGTGCTTTGCTCCCAGCTGTATTTGGAAGATAAATTTGAGTTCTTTTATATGTTTCAGTCATTATACGTAGGTTTTTTAATTATTTGGCATCGCTGCACTTTTTGTGCAGTATTTCTGGTTTTGTTTCTTGTCATTGTTTCCTCCTGGTGCTCCTTAAATCACAGAATGGAAATGATCCCCATGGATTGAATGGCTTATGCCTGTTGCTTTTCCTCTCCATTTCCTTTCTGCAATCTAACTCTTCAAGTGCTACAGTTCTTAAGTGCTAGTTGACAAGCAGGAAGCACAGACCCCAAGGATGTGTGTTGGCCAGACCTTTTCAGAGGAGCAGAACAATCCATATGTCAGTATTCCTTACACTTTAGACACAATGAGACTTGTTTAATCTTTTTTGCGTTCTCAAACCACTTTTTTGTATGTTTTGACAGGAGGCTGGAGCCAACAGAAAAACCCCTTCAGATTGTGTATGACTACTTGGCTGGGTTGGGCTTTGACGATCCTGTCAGAATGCAGGAAGAGGCAGCAAACTCTGATCTCAGCTGTATGATTCGCTTTTACAGTGGTAAGAAATTGTGTGTGTGCACTCTGTCTCTCTGCCTTTAGCTTTAATTATGAGGTGGAACTCATCTGAAGCTCAAGTCATTGTTGACCTGTTGGGCTTATAGATGGCTACATCAAACACCCAAAGTATCAGCAAGCATTTCTTAAAATAACTAGTTTTCAAGATTAATAGAAAAAACCACAATTTTATAGTTCTTTTGAAGTGTCTTCTGTGGCTTGAGAAAAAGCAGCTCCACAGGGAGACACAAGATTACTCTGTTGTCTTTAGTTTCCAATCCTATGACAAATGCCCTAAAGCTCCTAATGGGATCAGAAACATACTGCAGTTTGGTCTAGGTGTGCCTGAAGGTTGTATTTCCAAAAGGTAGATATGGGCAAGGAAGGTCCTGGTCAAAAACCTCCATATCCTGTAGAAGTGCCAGCTGGTTAATAATAATGCAGGCTGCCATTAGGAACCTGGTGCATTTCATTGCAGAAGTGAGACTTTTGAGTGGCCTCTTGAATGAGTTTGGGCAGGATACCACGTGTATAAGGAGCAACAGAATGGTAGTCAGAGGCGGTTGGCATTATGGTGCTAGCAGTCAGAAAAGGAATTCACTGAAGTGAAGAGTAGCTATAAAAGAAATCAGGAGGAGGAAAGCTGATCGTGAAATTGACATTACTTTTAAGTACTTCACCTGTGTATTTTTTGCATTCCAGAAAAAAAATCCAAGTCCTTTTAATGGAAAATTGTTCTTGCATAGTGGATCTGGGTAGCCCAACTAAGCTGCTGGCCATCATTCATTTAGTCAATGTCAAAAAATGGAATCATAACTAATTAGGTTCTCCACCCATTTACCTGAGACAAACCCCTTCTGTCTGGGAGATGTGTGCAGAGCCAGCAGAACAGTGTTGAAGTATAATGGAGATGGAAAGAAGCACGACATGTGTGCAGTCTGGATTTATGGGGCAAGGAGTAGGGAGTCAGAAGTTATTCCGGTTGGAAGGAGGAGAGGCATCAAGCATAGGGCTGTAGAGAACCTTTGAGGAAAAAAAATCAGCAATTTGATTTGGGTACATCCAGAAGGAATTGTTGATGATCCAGGAACAGTGACTCAAATTCATAGTAGGTAAGTAGGTAGAAAATGGAATTGAGTAGTTTCATTCAGCCTGGGAGAGTAGTCCTGCTTAGAAGGAGGCTGTAAAGGAAGGAGCGTAAGGATTGAAGAGTGTTCAGCAGGCCTGTTTTAAGAAACTAAAAGAAATGCTGATAAAGTAGTTCCCAAAGGTAGGGGGGAATTAGAGGGACTGGTATGGAGGATTACGTGATAATTTCACAAAGCCTGGAGCTGAGAACATAAGGGACGAAGTAATGCATTTTAGCCAGAGAAACATTACTTAAACCATTCTGTGATTCTAAGGTTCTTGGTTGGAAGGGACCTTTAAAGATCTTCTAGAGCAGCACCTCTGCCATGGGCAGGGACATCTTTCAGTCCAGTTTAAATCTTTCAATTTAAAATAGTTGTCCCTTGTCTTGTCACTGCAGGCCTTGGTAGAAAGTCTCTTTGCGCCTTTCTTATAAACCCCCTTTATGTATTGAAATGCTGCAAGAAGATCTTCCTGGAGCCCAATTCTCTCAGCCTTTCTTCATAGGAGAGGTGTTCCAGCCACCTGACCATTTCTGTGGCCCTCTTCTGGACCTGCTGGGGTGCTGAGGGCAGCCTTTATAGTTCTTTCACCCCTTGGGGATGTCTCTTGGATTTCTATCTCCCTTTCTCATGTGATATGTTGGGTTGGTTTCCTTCCCTGGTGCATGGTGCTTACTTATGCCCAGTTGGGGTGATGGGACTACAAGTGGATTAATAGAAATTTCACAGTAACCAGCAGTGAGAGGGAAGCATGTTTCCTGAAGTCTGGCTGTTGGGATACTTGTGGGAGACCAAGAGTCTTATGAGGGGAGACAATGTGTTAGATTGGCTGGGAGAATGGGGAAAGGGCTTCCTCTCAATGGAAGTTGCTTGGAGAATGGAGGCCAGTGACCCAGGCTGGATGGGGACAAGCTCAGAGATCAAAATGTTATGGGGTCTTCACATGCTTCAACAGCAGATCAAATGGAAGAAGCTCTCCAGGGCCATCAAACTGTTCTTCTATGTCAGGTGTGACAGGCATGAATTGTAGAGGGTCACACATTTTCTTTGGTGGGGAATTGTCTTGATTCCTTGTATTGTTATAAGCATGATCACAGTGACACTGAAGGCCAGGCTGAGGAGCTGCAAAAAGTGACAGGAACTTGCCTATTCCTAGAGGTTAAGAACATTCTTACATGTAGGAGGAGTTGTGAGATAGCTGGGATTCAGAGTAGAACATTGCCCATGGATGTCTCATGGCACTAGGACAATAGGTGTCATGGATGTTTTGGGGAGGATAGGGAAACTGGAGGTTTGGTGTAGCTTCTTAATATTTTTAATATTTTTTAATATTTATCTTAACTGATTTTGCATGATACAGCTGTGTTGCTGTTTGTACCCACAGCTGAGAATGAAGAACGAATGGAAAGTAAATGCTAATGTCCCTTTTTCCTTCAGAAAAGCCATGTCAAGTGGAACAGGTAGATCGCATCCTGCTCTCTGGAGTCTATAACGTACGCAAAGGAAAGACCCAGTTGCACAAGTGGGCAGAGCGCTTGGTAATTCTCTGTGGTACGTGCCTCATTGTGTCCTCTGTGAAAGACAGCCACACAGGGAAGATGCACATCCTGCCTCTCGTTGGAGGGAAGGTAAGACTTGGTTTGGTTAGTTTCTTGTTTGGTTAGCTTCCTGTGGCTTAGAAAGGAAGAAGGGATTATAATGATGGGTATTATCCACAAAAGGTTAATCCAGGCTTTTGTAACAAATTACTGCATTAACATGGGCAGAGAGTTGTACAACCCCTCTCTACTTAAAGGATATGGACCTGTTAGAATGAGTCCAGTGGAGGGCCACAAAGATGATCAGAGGACTGGAGCACTTCTGCTATGAGGACAGGCTGAGAGATTTGGGGTTGTTCAGCCTGGAGAAGAGAAGGCTCCAGGGAGACTTTATAGCCCTTTCCAGTACCTGAAGGGGGGTCTACAGGAGAGATGGGGAGGGACTCTTTGTCAGGGAGTGTAGCTATTTAATAGGACGAGAAGTAATGGTTTTAAACTGAAAGAGGGTAGATTTAGATTAGACATTAGGAAGAAATTCTTTAATGTGAGGGTGGCAAGACACTGGAACAGGTTGCCCAGAGAAGTTGTGGCTGCCCCATCCCTGAAGGTGTTCAATGCCAGGCTGGATGGGGCTTTGAGCAACCTGGTCTGGTGGGAGGTGTCCCTGCCCAGGGCAGGGGGGTCGGAACTTGATGATCTTTAACGTCCCTTCCAACCCAAACCATTCTATGATACTTGCTTTGCTTGGGTAGTAGTCTTAAGGCTGATAAAAGCAAGAGACCACTTCTGCTTTCACGTTAGTAGCCAATGTTGTGAATGGGCATTCTGGAAGTTATTACTTCTTGGATCTACTTTAACAGAAAGATGTTAAGAAGGATTTACTTCTGTGTTTTTCTCCAATAACTTTACAATTGTGTTTTCAGCAAAATGTAATGTTTCTGGTAGTTGGTAATACCTCACCCTAGACTTCAGATCCATTGTAGTTGTTGAAGTTTAGACAGACTGTTTTATTTTCAATTCTCCCTTTGCAGGTGGAAGAGATGAAACGTCGTCAGTACACACTTGCTTTCACATCTGCTGGGGCACAAGCTCAAACATACCATGTTTCCTTTGAAACACTGGCAGAGTGTCAGCGGTGGCACCGACAGGCGTCCACGGTGAGGCCCTGGAGACTGCAGTAGTTCGGGTGGTGGGTACAGGGGTAAGAAGGGTTTTCTGATGCAGGCTTGGTATGCAGCAGAGATGAAGCTGTGCTGCTAGAGAAAGTATCCGGGACACTTTCCAGCTTTCTTCATTTCTTCAGTGCTCAGGACAGAGGTTTTCTTTTAGCCTTTTAGCCTCTGTGTAAATGTTGAAGAGTAGTTCTGCTTTTTTTTTTTTATCCCTGCTGCACTTACTGGTAGTACCTAATCACAGGTCACTAAAGTGAATCCCAAGGTCTGGCTGACTTTACAGCTATAGAAACCTATAAATTGCACCTATTGCCTTACTTTGATTGGCCCAAACAGTGGCTTGGACTGGCATGGGGCTACCTGATAGATTTGAGTTAACTCAGAGATCGTAGGTCAGCAAAGGAAGTGTACTTTGTTCAAAGCTGTGTCCTTATCCCACCTTAAAGTACAATTAGATGGTGATAGCTTAATGCTGAGCCACACTTTGACCTCATATGATATAATGAAGTATGAAATGAGTTCAGGATAAAGCAGGTCATAAAATCTGGAATGAAGCACTGAAGAGCTCAAAACAAGGCATGCTTAATGAAAGGAGATGTGGTATTTGCAACAACTTTATAAAATAACACAAAAACATGATTTATGAAGCCTTTGTATCATAACAGGTTATGTTTCTAATACTATACACTGAACAAGCTAACAAAAGAAAGTCAGAGGAAGTAGCTAGGCCGAGCAGAGGTTCTGTAAACCTTAAAGGGCTTAAATGGAAAGTCAACTGCTTCCTGTTGCTGCTTACATCTTTGGAAGGCACTCAGGTTATGCTTTCTTGGCAGTTTCCTCAGCCAAAAATACGGTTTTCTCCATTAGGTTGGCTCTCTTTCGGCCTAGCTTTCAGGCAGCGCCTATTGCATGTACAGAGCAGGGCTTTCTGTGTGTCCTAGTTGGTGTCCAGGTATGCATCCTTGCAGAAACAATGGTAGCAAATGGCATAAACTCATACCCCGTGGACTCAGTTTCTTGTATGAAATCTGCCTGGTAGGTACGAGGGGGTTCTTTCATGTTCTTGCAAATTGTTTACTACTTGCACCCTTTTGCCTTCCAGTAGACTTTCAGAGAAAAGTTGTTGCACAGCTGCAGCTCTACCTCCTTCTTTTCAGGTTGTGTCTATGCGACTCGGCATGGTTGATCTTTCATGCTACAGCCTTGAGGAAGTACCTGAGCACCTCTTCCACAGTCAAGACATCATCTACCTCAACCTACGACACAATTTTATGAGATCAAGTGGAGCAGGGAGCCTTGACTCTCTTTGCAGGTCTGCAAAGTATTATTTTTCTTCTACATTTGGAGTTCTTGACGTGTGCATCCAGGGATGAAAAGGAGGGGGAGTGTATTGCCCATTCTTGTGGGATGATAAAAAGATTGGTCTTCAGGAAGCCCTAACAAATGAGGGGGCAAGGAAGCAGAACTGAACAGCGCAGGCAGCATAAGCTTCCAACAATTTACAGTATTTGTTAACTCCCTTCCACAGATTCTTTGTGCTAAGTTTGGTCTGAAATGAGCCTTGTGGAGCAATATATCATTTGTATGGACAAGATGCAATAGTAATATAAGGCTGGTTGATAAACAGAGAATATGTTGGGGGTATAAAATAAAAGATGGGGGAAAGCATAATGCTGCTGATGTGGCGTAAGTGTTTGTAGGAGGAAGTGCAGATCTGAAAATGCCTGGTTTGGTAAGTTCTGATCGTGCATTTGGAATTGGCAGAGGGCCTGTGAGACTCCAGCTTTGCTTTGGGAACTTGTAATGATCTGCTTTTAAGAGAGTAGCAGTTGTGTGACGGTATGGAAGCACGATGTAGTCATCTTAGGTAAGTGAAGGAGTCTTACAAAAATATTTTTCAGTTAATTTCTGAAAACTGTAAAAATCTAGAGGAACAGTAGATTTGTTGATATCTATGCTAGCCATGCTAAAAAGAATTCAAGGAGTCACTGTATGAAATTTGAAAGCCATTACAAAATCTGTAGTAATATTGTCAAATGGCTCTGTGTTTGGAACACATTGTGCCTTAAGAAAAATGTGTTTAGAGAAACTTTGCAAAACAGCGGATTTTTGTTTTGTTTCGGGGTTTTTTTGTGTGGTTTTGTTTTGGTGTCTAGGTGCCTATTACAGGTTATTTAGTTTTTCTTCCTACAGATTAATGAGATACCTAGGTATCTATGAGGGTATACAGGGAAAAAAATTGCTCACCTGTGGAAATTCTTTGCAGTTTCATTGAGAGCCAGAGCCTAGTCTGGTTCTGTTTTAATTTCAAACTTGTTGTTTTCTAACTGCTGAATTGTAATTAACTGTGTTATTGGAAAAGCTGCTTAAAATAATTCAAGATTTTGCTTTCTACTTCTCTCTTCAAATACATTGTATGATGTTGAAAACCGTATCAGAACTTTATTTTCTAAAATGCAGTATCCTTGGTTCACAGGATCAGCAAAGGGGCTTGAAATTTCTTTTGACCTTGCATGTAGTCAACAAGAGATCTGATATGTCAGAAACTCGACTCTTTTCCTGGCAGTGACTATGTCTGATGAAGCTGAAATCCTCAAACAAACAAAAGCCATAAAAGAAGCCCTCACTTCACACAATCTTGAATAAACAGGTAGCATTAGGTAGCCCACATAAGGCTGCTCGTTGCCTTTTGAAAAGATTTTCTTTCTGAGGTTTTTAGGATGTTTATCAGGTCACAGCCCCAAATGAAGAAACTTGCTGTTTTGCAGTTGATGTTATCAGTGCCTAGAGATTGACGGTTCTGAACTGCAGAATCTTTTTGCAATGATCAGATCTCTTCCTCTGAGGAAATCTTCAGAGCTGTAGGAGTCTAATTAGCTATAACTATAATAGTGGAACAAAAATAATTAACTAAAAGGGAAATGTTAAGCAATGGAAATTAAATAACCCCACCTGATTTGTTACATTTTCTAGCTTATTTTTTATGTAACGTACTGCCTTTCAAATATATCCCTTTTGTGGAAAACATTATCAACTCTGATCTCCACTGATGTTTGTGTGTGCACACGTGTGTGTATACACATACGCATGTCTGTTATCACCATTCTGGCGAGTTGATACAGAGTTGTACTGGGATGCTTTGGTGGCAGAGCAGGATGTTGTGTTAAATTTGGAATATTTCAGGCCAGCACCAATTTGGGCAGCTGAACAGAGGATGGCCGTCCCATTGAGGGAATTGTTGCTGTGTTTCCATACCTCTTCACTGTAATCTCAATGTGCCCTGTGAGAGCACAGACCAAAACTTGAGTAGCCATAACAATTTCAGGATCCTTATTCCTTCTAATACATTGTTCATGTATACAACTTGAATGAGAGTTGGATTTGCATTCCATTCCTGCATCCCTACTGCTTGAGAATATTGGGACAAAGGAAGAAGGAACAGAAGGGGAAATCAAAAGGCTTTTGAGTATTGTTCTCCCCATTGAATATGACAGCCTGCTCGAGGAGTCTCAGACCAAGCTGTGTAATGTACTGGCTCCCCCCCCAGCTTTTGGAAACTTTTATGCCCCTTTTGTGTTTGCTTTGATATTGTTGCAGAGGAATGAATTCTAAAAGTTGCTTATGCTGTTGCATTTATTCCATGTCTCTTGGGGCAGCTTCTCACCACACTCTGCTAATGACAAAGAGCTGCTTGGTGTTAAGGACAGGTGCCATAGGAAAAGCCATTGTGGAACTCCACAGAAAGTAGTTTCATCAAAGCATTTTCTGATTTCAAAACCTGAGAACTGTGATCTGCCCTAAATCTCTTGAAGCTATAGGTTTATCCTCATTGTTTCCTTCTTTTCTGTTATTGTTGTGAAGTTGTGTGTGCAAGTTTCTGATTTTTGTATCATTGTTAGATCTTAGCATCATACAATATGTTCCCTTTAGGAAGGCCATACAGCATCTTTCCCTTTGGCTTCCAGTTGCATTACAAGAGAGTCTGTTTGAGGTTGCAGCAAACATAAAATGCCTGTGTCCTTATATATATGACAGGGTGCTTTCTCAAAGCAAACAACCCACGTTCAAGTTCCAGATATGCTCCCTCTTTTAGAATAAAAAACAACACCTCCTCCCCCCTAAGATTGTAAAGCGAAATGGAGAAATATAATGCATAATTCCTACACAGATCATTCCAAGTACTCTGAATCTGAAAAAGGAGTTGCTATAAAGAAGAAAAAGTTTCAAAAGCTTTTAGTCTTATACTTCAAGACATCTCAAGTTAGCAGCATTATTCTCCCTCAAGCTGATTAACCTTGGTTTTGTTACCTGTATTAAAATATTTGCTTCAAAATAAGAGCTACTTGCCATTGCCTAGCAAAAGTGTAGCAGGTGGAGCAGATGAGTGAATTATATGTTTCCAAAACGTGCTTCTCTGGTACATTACATTTGATTGGCAATTGTCTCGTGAAAGTATGATATTAATTCCCCCACTGAATTAATCTCTAATGGTTCAGGTTTGAGATGAAGAGGTTATTACTTGGGGAAAAGTACTTCTGCTTCCTATGGAAAGAGGCAAGAACTCTTTGAGAAGAACATCTTGTATATTACCCCAGCCCATGCAGAGTTTCTTCTCTCTCTGTGGACATACCACAGTGACAGAAGGAGCTGGAGTAGGCAACCATCTGTTAAGCACAGGTGGGACCATAGTGGCTGTGAGGGCTGTGGCTGTACCTATGGTGCCAAGCAAGTGGCACTTTAGACGTGGAATCTCTTCCAAGGACCTCTGGGAGCAGGTCTTGGGGCTTCCCAATGTGAAGTCAGCACTTTCCAGGTTTTTCCTTTTACAGCTCTGCCAAGTCTCTGTTGTGTCTAGCTTGAGAAGGGTATTCCCCTTTTTTATTCTCAGAATAGTTCCGGTTAAACCCCTTTTCTTTTTTATTCTCAGAATAGTTCCGGTTAAATGTTTTGAGCTTCTGTTTTCTCAAGCTGCATAATAGTAGACACTCCACATTCTTTGGAGGTAAATTTGAACCAAGTATTTTTAGTGTCCTTAAATCTTAGTCACTAGGAGGAAGCCTGTCAGGTGTCAGGGTAGAAGGTTGTTACCAGTTTTTGCAGTAAAACCATAGTATTTGATCACTTTCAGTATTACCCCTGTGATACAAAATATCAGTGACTTAAAACCACATTTGTGCAGAAACTCTCATAATGAGTTAGCCAACTGTATCACTAGTGTACAAAGACTTAAAAACTCTTTATGACTGGTTTTGTTTGGTTTTGCTTCAAGAGCATGGAGGTCTGCGAATTAACTACTGTTCTTGCCAATAGGTTTTCTCAGTTGAAGAGCCTGAACCTGTCTCATAATAGACTGGGAGAGTTTCCTGTATCACTGTGCGAGATCTCTACTCTGACAGAGCTTAATCTTTCCTGCAATGGACTTCATTACTTGCCAAGCCAGATTGGCAAACTGTTGAAGTGAGTATATTCTTTTTATCTGTGGTTGTAAACATTTTTGGTGGTTCAGTTGAGCACAGCTGATGGGAAGGTACTACTTGTGAAAGTATGAGCGCTGGGGCAGCCTCTTCTGCCCATGAAGAATGAACGGTGGCTTTGACTCCAGTAGGAGGTCAAGAACCAGGATGTCCAATAAGGTTTGTTTTTCCTTGAAAATGAAGATATCACAGTATGTTTATACAGTTGCCATTTTAAGTCACTGGTACATAGCAAGTTATTCATCATTTATGACTTTCTGCCTATTCTACTGGCTATGTACAATATGTTAGCGTGAATCAGTTTTCTGATAGAGGAGTTGAATGGACTTTGGCCTGGGAAGACACTTAAGAGTGAGTTATGATGCCTTGAATTGCAGGTCCCACCTTGCTGAACTAGAGTAAACGTGAAGGCTTCTAAGCGTATGAATATACTCTCACTTGAAGTTTAATAAACTTGAAGCTTTTTGTGTTCTTGGGGGGGCTGTTTTCTTGTTTTGTTTTTACTTTGGGGTAACTTGTATGATTTCATGTGGATTTACGTCCAACTTTCATGTAAATTTGAATGCATCTTGTTCTCTTTGCATCAGCTGCCATCTTGCATTCCCTTGCCTGCTTTCTTGTTTTTTCCTTCCTACATTCTTTTCTAATTGTTTTTAAACTACTATTGCAGTGGTGCCTTATTGGTTAAACATAAATATTGTTATATTTACATAAAAATAGTTAAGAGTTTCTGAAGACTTGTTTAGATAAAGGTTGGTATTGAGCTGTTGGTTTGTTGTGGCTCTTCCTCCGGCTTAATCTTTAAAAAGGAATATCTGCAGCTATGCTGGATGTGAGCGAGTTGTTCCCAGTTTTTTAGCCATATGCAAACTGAAGAAAAAGCTGCACGCAGGCTTACGGTTTTCAGAGATGTACAATTTAGTTAGGGGTCCAGTCATTTTCATGACCCCTTGAGCCCTTATTCGTATGAGGTTTTTTTATGGCCCCAGGTTGCATTTCTACCATCAATAAACACTGCTCAGAAAGTTCTTTGTTGGAACTTAATCATAATGAGGGATTTGTATTTTGGGGGGTTGAGTCTCAAAAGACATACAAAGTTTAAAACAATTCATCTTGCAACAGAAATCTACCCTATTCTTTTCTGAGTGTCTGAATGGACAACTAGAATGTAAAAATCTGTTACCAGTGCATTAGCGTGGTAGGAATTTGGCTTAAACTGTGCTGTAAGTGCCATAATAGTGATAGGAAATTCCAGCAATTGGATGATTTATGTTTCTTATGAGACAAGTCTGTACTGTTGCTGCTGTTGGTTTTGGTTTTAGTCTGTCATAGGTCTTTTAAAGATTGTCCAGCATGCTAAGTGAGGAGTTCTTAATTTGTAGAAAACCAAGTGATTAAGTAAATACTTTTCACTTGCAACGTAAGTACTGATTTGTAATTTGCTTATGTTAACTTATATCTTTAACACAACTGGAAGTTTACCTCCGAAACATTTTAGGAACTATTTGGTATTGCATGCGTGCAGTTCCAAGCCTATTACATGCATAATAAAAGTACTCCACTAACTTTATATGTATAAGAATAAAAATAGCTGTTAAAAAACCTTTAAAAAATACCCACACTGTCACCAGCTAGATATATGAGGAAGTTCACTGGAAATGCTAAATGTGATGTTCACCAGTTTGCTGAATTATTTTCTTTCTCTTTTTCCCTGCTGCAGCCTCCAGACCTTCTGGCTTGATGGGAATTTCCTCACATCCTTACCAGAAGAACTGGGAAGTCTGCAACAGCTCAGCTGTCTCGGGCTTTCCTTTAATAACTTCTGTGAACTGCCAGCAATTTGTGAGAAACTCGTTGTCTTGGACAAACTAGCCCTGGCGGGGAACTTGCTGGAGACCCTGGACCTGGCAGTGCTGAACCGCATGAATCACATCAAAAGTGTGGACCTGAGGTAAGGGGGGAAACTTGCACACACATATAAACCAGATTGCTACTTTCTATTCACAGCAGAGCAGCTGTGTAACTTCTAGTACATTTTGCAATAAACTAGCTGTAATTTTTTTTTTCTCTTACTGATTCTTTAGGTTTTAGGGAGTTCTGTTTCTGAGGGTGTGCGGAATTCACTTAGTGAAGCAAGGTTAACTGAGCAATGCCTGAAGCACTGAATGTCACTCAGCCCTCTGGTTTCCACCCACCTCCCCTCCCCAAGGTGTGATTGTGAATCTCCAGGCAAAGAATCACAATCAGATGCAGAGCTCTCAGGAAGGGACAAAGAACTTTTTGTCTGTGACAAGGCAGGCTTTTATCTAGATTCCGCGTCAGTTTCCTGTGTCCGTGCAAAGTGGCTGTCCCTTAGCCTGGCTTCTAATTTCTAGGCTGGTCTTCAGAGTTTCTTAAACACTAGGGAATGAGAAAAACAGTTTCAAATAGCAGTGCAGACAAAGGAAATGTTTTTCTTTGTATTCACTACCTGAAATCTGCCATTGCTTCTTGCACATTTCACTGTGCTCGCCTTTGGTGTTAGCCTTCACCAGAACTCTTACTTTCCTATTCTTTCTTCTCTCTTCTGACTGATGTCCAGTGTTCCGTGTCCTATTTTCTGACTTTACAATGCTTGTCTCTGAGTGTTTAGGCTGAACAACCTGAAGAGAACAGCAGCTGACACTCTGGAGGGGAACAAATCTGTGACTTACATGGATTTACGAGACAATCAGATGACAGATCTGGATCTGAGCTCCTTGGGCTGCCTGGAGCAGCTGCACTGCGAGCGGAATAAGCTGAAAGAGTTGACGCTGAGCGGCTTCTCCCTTCGGGCCCTCTATGCCAACAGCAACTGTACGTCCTTTTGTCGTCTTCTCCTGCCTTATTCCTTCAAGCCCTGGGAACAAAAGAAAACAAAACAGGCGTTTGTCCTCTCCCACACATAAAATAAGTACTTATGCTGATGTTACTGTAGTGAGACTGTATGTGATGGGTCTTCTGAGGTCAGCTCCTAGGGATCACGTATGCATGTGCGCAAGCTGTGTAAGAGGGGGAGGTTGTAGGGTTGAGTTACTGTCCAAGGAATTTGTCTTCCAGTGAGATCTGTTTGGAAGCCAACAAATAAAGGTACAGTTCTCCCTTGTTCTGGTGCTCCACGTGGCAGGTGGAGAAATGGGGCAGAGAGAATCTGTAGTGCCATATGGCAGATGTATGGAGTGTGAACTCTGTCGTGGGAAGGATGAGTAGAGACCTTGAATATCCATAAAGTAAGATATGAGTCTCACTTGCTAGCTAGTCTGTCGGCTTATCTGTGCTTTTCTCCCTTTGAAGCTCTGCAATCATAATTATTTGCTTTACTCCATCAGGTCTGACAGCTGTCAATATTTACCCAGTTCCTGGTCAACTGACGTGTCTAGAACTCTCTCAGTAAGTGACTGTACACCACAGCATTCTGGACACCTTTGTGGTTTTCTGCAGAAGTTTTCTGAAACTTTTAAACTTTTGAAGGAGTTGAGAGCAATTGAGGGAAGGCACTCCATCTTCACAAAAGAATTGAAAAGCCCAGCAGTAAAAATTATTAAAGTGTCCCAGACCAGAAGCCCCTCTGAACCAGTACGACCTGTTTAGGTGACTGGGTGTAGGCTGCAATCAGCAAAAAAAAATCCAAGCAAGGACCACTGAACTTGGGGCAGCTTACTGGGCTGAATGGTGGGAATCTGTGGAGCAAACATTTAGAGTAGCTGCCAGTGATCTTGGCAGTCAGCTTCATTGCCTGTGTCTGCCCTTGGAACAGCATTGTGAGACCTGTAAGACAGGATGCCCAGAGGATCTGATCACCTTTTGCTTCAGTTCTGGGTTGAAGAACAATAGCAGGATAGTGTAGGGTGGCCTATTCTGCTGGTGTCAGTGCTGTCAACACCAAGCCTGATCATTGAAGCCTTGCATCAGTACTTACTACCAGTTGTGCACCAGCTCAGTTTGCGTTACGCAACTAGCCATGAGATAAATTCCATGTGACTGGTTCAGATACTGTTCATTTTTCTGCCTGTTGTTTTAGGTTTGGGTGTCACTAATGTCACACAGCGTGCAAACAGGGTATGTTCCATATGGCGTGCTGGTCTCTAGCTTTTCCCCCTTGCTTTTCACAGCAATCAACTGCAGTGTGTCCCAGACTGGGCCTGTGAAGCAAAGAAACTGGAAGTTTTGGATATGAGCTACAACCTCCTTGTGGAGCTTCCACCAAGGTCAGCAAACCACCTTCTTATACAGAGCTGAGCTTTCTTCTGTGGTGAGCTGACTGGGGAGAAAGAAGCAGTGCTATTCCAGTCCCTTTATTCCTTGTTGTGCAGAGATATAATCCACTTACTTTCTCTGTGCAGCATTGAAAATACTCTGTATTCAAATGTTGGAAAGAACTGACTTCCAAATCAGCTTCTTGAATAACAGGGGCCAGGTAATTTCATCCTGTGCTTCTGGCTACTACTGCAGCTGTTTGTGCCTGAAGTGAAACACACTGCTATGTTTTTTTTGTGTTATCATAGTGCCTGTGAACACAGGTTGTAGGTGAGGCCCTAATAGACCTTGCCTTAACCCACAGAGATTTCATCTGTTGCCTTTTATAGCAAGATATCACAGAGGTGTGATATAGCTGATCTCAAAGGTAGCTTTCACAACACATCATCAGCCATTTCCTTTCTCCCTGTTCCCATTTCAGTTTCTGCAGAAATGAGGTAAAGGGGAGCCAAGAACTAATAAAATTTTGCAGATAGTTATAATGACTTTTCCAAGGTAGTAGGGATATCATGGGAAGAAGCAAAGAACCAATGTTCTTAGCCTAACAAGTGTGTTTGGGGGTGTGATCAGCTACATTGAAATTGACTGGAAGGGTGGATAACAGTGAAGAAATGCAGAGAGCAGGTTGAAGCAATTCAGGCAGCAGGGATAGGAGGTGACCTGAGCAGTGACATTCTAGGGGTTGTCAGAGACAAGACTATATACATCAAAAGCAAGAAAAGGATGTAACAAAGATGTGATAACGAGAACTTAGAAAATAATTTAAGCTATGTCAATGGATGAAAAAGACCAGATTTTAAGGATGTTATGCAAAAAGAATGTGCAGAATTCAGACACAGAAATAGATATTCTAAAAAGAAATTTAAGCATTTTTAAATGCTTAGGAATCTGAAGTGCTGGAATTAACTGTATCTCATCCAGTATGTGTTTGTCTTCAGCACTGTAAGTATGTCTTGTGTACGGTTAGAACTTCGCCAGCGTTGATTTTCAGCCATTCATCACTTTAATCCAGCAGACTAAAGCTTAATGAGCTTTGCATAAGGGGGTTATAGTTCACTGTGAAGTTGCTTTTTACACTTAGTTGTCCAAAGCCAGAATTGTGTCAAAGTGGTGTGCAACAGTGCTGAGTGGAGTATACCCAAGCCAGCTCTGGATGAGTTAGGTTGAATAATGAAATTGGTGTATCTGCATTTGAATGGTTTTTTGTCCCCCCCAATGTAATTAGCTTTGAGAAACCACAGCATACAGAAAGAAACTGAATTAATTAGCCCACAGCTTCAAAGCTGCTCTGTGCAGGGCTCTCAGAATATAGTCCTAAATTATCACCTCACCCAAATGGCGGGGTGGTTCTAGACTACCTCCAGATGTGTTCAGATACCCTTTCTCAGAACTCCTGCAGTTTGTGGGGATAGAGGCCTTTCCCTTCAATAAGCACTGCAATTCTGGCGAATGTGACAACAGCCTCAGAAGCAATACAGGAGCACTAAGCAGCCTGTTAAAGCTCTGAATGTAAGTTGGCACAGGGGAAGCACTTCTTTCTGCCTACAAGTGAAAACAGGCATTTAAATCCATCCTTTGTGACTTCTCTTTTTTTTTTTCTCCGCCTGAAAGAATGAGGCGCACGGACAGACTCACAAGTTACTGATCTGCAGTAGCATAGAGGAAAATGTAGACACAATTCCAAGCTTTCAGAGTGACTGAGGCACCATGTGTGGTTTTCTGCTTTGCATTGTTTACGTTTTATGGATCAGGGTTTTTAAATTTTTCTCTGCTGTACACTCAAATTATAATGGATTAAATACCTCCTTTTTCCCCTCTGTGGATGTGAAGAGGAGTGAACCAAGCTAATAAATAAAACTCTGTGTCTTTCTAGGATCCTCAGCAGCTTGAGCCTTCGGAAGTTGATGGTGGGGCACAATCGTCTGCAGAGCCTCCCACCTCTTCTAGAACACATTCCACTGGAGGTGCTGGACCTTCAGCACAACCTGTTGACTAAACTCCCAGAGACACTCTTTGTCAAGGCTCTGAAGTGAGTGGCAGCAGCGTCTTTTATCTGCATTAACCTTTGGAGCTGTAAAGGCTGATAGTGGCATCTGCATGACTGTCCTTGCAAGGTCCCTTTTATGTAAGACAGAACTAGGTGTGCACTTCATGGGAAGGGAATTCAGGTGTCATCAAGTTCATTTGAGGGAATCAGCCCATGTTACTGTTTAATTACAGGAAAACAGAGGTTTGCCTAACCCAACAGCCAGCTGAAGAATTAGCTTCAGTTGCAACTGGTTCTAAAATCGTGTTACTGTCTGAAGAGATTTGTCTTTAAAAGTAGCGTGTAAATTCAGGTGCAAAGGAAAGAAACCATACAGATTTTAAGACGTTACAGCAAAAAGTACATCAGGTCATTGGAGAACAGTGAGAGAGACTGTTACAAATGAAAAACCCTTCATAACTGTCTATTCAGACATGAGTCAGCCCTTCTTTTAAAGACTCTGAGTAAGAGTTTATGTCATCTGCTTCCACCACAATTACCCACCCCCCTCCACAGGCTACACAGTACTTACTCTTTACTGTAAAATGCTGTGTGCATCTGAGGTGCTATATAGCTAATAAGTCATTAGTAGATGTAAATAATCTTAATGTGAGTAAGGATTTTACAGTGTGTTGTCTGGCCTTCTGTCTAATGCTGTTTCTCTGTCCACACTGGCATTTGTATTGCTTCTTTTCCTGCTGTTAACGGAGTGGTTTAGACGATGTGAAGTCTGATTTTTTTGCACTTGCTGTGTTTAGCCTCAGGTACCTGAATGCATCTGCAAACAGCCTGGAGTCCTTGCCCTCTGCCTGTACAGGGGAGGAGAGTCTGAGCATGTTGCAGCTGCTTTACTTGACCAATAATAACCTCACAGATCAGTGCATCCCTGTTTTGGTGGGACACCCGAGCCTACGGATCCTGCATCTGGCAAACAACAACCTACAGACGTTCCCTGCAAGGTAAATAAGTGATGCTGGTGGGTGAGATAGTGCTCACCAGGAGGATGTTGCCTGCCTTACTGTGATTGTATGTGCATCGGCGTCAAAGCAAGATGCTCTCCTATGGCTTGATGACAAAAGCCTGCCATTCCTACACACACACTGGGGAACAGCACGTTAACGGGGACTGACACAGGGTACTCTTGGCTGCTGTTATTCCTGTCCTCATTGCGGTGGATGTGTGTGTGTGTGTGTGTGTGGATGGAGACCCCGCCTCTTTGCAACTCCAGTGCTGCTGGCGTGCAGCTTGCTGTGCTGCATTTTTTCACTTTCCAGTTTGCCAGGAGACCCTCAGTCAGACTTGTCAGACACAGGCCATATAATTTCATCCATTCATTCCTAACCAACACTTACAGGCTAAACAACCACTTTCATGTAAATTTGTTTATTCCTACAAAGTACACTGACACAACTAAGGGGGTTTTGCCAGTTTTAAATTTAGGAACACTACAATTTTCTGCTTTAGTGCTTTAGAAATCAGGGGTGAAAGGATCTGTCTGTTGTATAAATCCAAGCCAGGCTTGGGGACCCTGAGCTATTCGAGCATCTCTTAGGACACTTGGTCTCCTATCAGTAAATTAGAAATGTAGCTTATAAAGGGCAGTGCTGTGGATACCTTACCTGAGGTTCAGAAACTGACAAGTTTTTGCCTATGAGATACAGTATTCTTTTGTTTCCCTTTCAGCAAACTTAGTAAGCTGGAGCACTTGGAAGAGCTGAATCTGAGCGGCAACAAACTGAAAACAATTCCCACAACAGTGGCAAACTGCAAGCTACTTCATACACTTATTGCACACTCTAATGAAATCAGCATCTTTCCAGAGATCCTACATTTGTCCCGTATTCAGGTATTTTTATGGAGAAGGTAAAGAGATACTGGGGGAAAATTTGTGTTGGAGAATGAAGAGTAACTGCTAGGAGAGAACTGGAGCTCCAGCATTTTGCTTGATCAACCTGAGAAGAGGGCACAGAATATGCATTCGAGTTCTGTCGCCTTTCTGAGCCTATCAAAGATGGCTCATCTCTCATTCTTCTTTACCATCTATCTCTGGCTTGGTGTATTCCTGGTTTACCATTTGAGGCAGTAGGGAGTGTTACATAGCTCAGCAGTTTGGGTATATAGGCCTTCTGTTATTCTTAGTGTTACCTATTCTTTCAGTATTGGACTCTTGGCTATTGCAGGTTGTAAGTATTTGCTGCTTATAATTGTTCTTCTACTGATAGGTCAGACCTGTTTTCATCACCTGTTTGTGGGATACAATCAGTAGTGGGGTCATATCTGTGGGAGGAGCACTGGAGTAACTGATCATATGACAAACCAGAATATTTTCATTGTAACTGTGCTCTTTTTTCTTTTTTTTTTTTTTTTTTTTTTTGGTACTGCAGTTTGTTGACTTGAGCTGCAATGAGTTAACTGAAATCCTAATCCCTGAGGCACTGCCAGGTACCTTGCAAGAGCTGGACCTGAGCGGGAACACAAACCTGGTGCTAGAACACAAAACACTGGACATCTTCAGGTGAGCCATGGAGATGCCAACCCAGTAAACACCTGCACAGGGAAGGGTAGCCCTTCCCAGGAGGGATAATGGGGTAGTAAAATGTGTATCACAGCACCGCATACTGTTGGTGTTCCCTGCCTGAGGCACCTGAAGCTTTCTATCTAGTGGGATGGGAAAGCCTGGGTCCAAATCGTTGCAGCAAGCAAACAGTTTCTCAGGTGGTATGGGGCTCTCCCAGCTGTCTCTGGCATAAGTAGCCAGACATCTTTAGAAGGCCAAGGCCTTAAACTCCTCTCCTTGGTGCAGTTCCACAGGCTGCTGTTTAAAGCTCTAGACTGGACAATGTCCTTTGGCCACAAACTGTTGTGTGGGATCTAGGAGAGAATGACTTCTGTTCTCCTCTCTCTGTAGTCACATTACCACGCTGAAGATTGATGCAAAGCCCTCCCTCACAGCAGACTCAGCACTCACTTCTACCTTCTGGAGTCATGGAGTAGCTGAGATGGCAGGCCAAAGGAATAAGTGAGTATTATGATCTGCTGGATGCTGACACTTTGTCTTCGCAGGGTGCTGGGTGGAGTGCACTGCTAAGCACCCAAGGAGACTTGTTTTGCTCAAGAGCTTATCCATCCCTCTGTCTCTTCAGATCTCTTGCAAAGGCTTGGTAACTCGGGCCTCCACAGTGTCCTTTCCCTCAGTTTTCACGCTTGTCTTGGGACGCTTGGACTTTGCTTCCCACCCTAGCAGAGATGCTCTTTCTTTCTCTTGCTGGCTGTGCCCATTGCCCTCTACTGAATGTGGCCAAAGAGGGTTCGTGAGTTCAAATGATAAACTGCAGCTGTACATCTCATGGGGCAATGAATACAGGGACAGTGGCTTTGCTGCCCTGTGAGAACAGCACTCACGGCAAGATGCCTGATGGCTGTGGTTTTGGGGACCATATAATCTTCTGAGACATCTTAACTTTGCTTGTATGCTTTTCTAACAGGCTGTGTGTGTCATCCCTGGCGATGGGGAGCTTTGCAGAGGGGGTGGAGGCTGTGTATGGCATGTTTGATGGTGACAAGAACGAGGAGCTGCCACGCTTGCTGCAGTGCACCATGGCCGATGTGCTCCTGGAGGAGGTACAGCAGTCAGACACCATGTTCATGTCCAACACCTTCTTGGTCTCCCACAGGTAGGACAGTGAGCAAGCTGGTCCTGGTGGGACCTGCATAGGTATATATCACTTAATGTGTTAGGTGGGGTGAGGCAGCCCTCCCGAATGCCTGTTGCTGGAGTCTGGAGCCTTCCTACACTTTCTCCTCCAACAGGAAGCTGGGCATGGCTGGGCAGAAGCTGGGTTCCTCTGCTGTCCTTTGCTATATTCGTCATGATGTGGCCGATCCAGCCAGCAACTTCTCTCTGACGGTGGCCAATGTGGGGACGTGCCAAGCCATTCTGTGCCGAAGTGGAAAACCACTGCCTCTCTCCAAAGTCTTCAGCCTTGAACAATGTCCAGAAGAAGCCAAGAGAGTCAAGGAGCAAAAAGCCATTATAACAGAGGTTAGTTTGGACCCTCTCCACTTAAAAGCTTGGTACAAATACACGAGCTCTGCTGCCTGCATATTAGTACAGAGGAGAGGATGGCATGAAGGTGTTCAAGTGACTCCTCTGTCGCTTCTTGTTCTGATTATCTTCCTGATTAGCTATTCCAAATTACACGTTCCTAAAACACCCATTGTAGCCTGAAAACTACAGGTACAGAATGCCAAGGGTGGCTTAGGGAGAGAGAGAGGAAAGAAAATACGTGTGGAGCTAAAGGAAGGGCGGTCCATAATACTGTGTGTGATTTGGGTGAGTGTGGAGAGGAGCCACTGAAGAGCAGAGCAGGGCCTGGGAACTCATTTTGTCTCAAAACCCACAAAAAATCTTCTACATTTCTTGGAAAGTGTGACTGGAGTTACCTCTCTTTGGATTTTTTCCATGTTTTACTCAGTGAAGGTACAAGATCAGTGGCCCTTTAGACATGCAGAACATCAATATAAAGTATATTACAGGTAAACATTTTAACAGAAAAAGAGACAGATATGTTCATTGCCTTTATGCAAGCGTGTTACAATTATTTCTGAAGAACTCTGTAAAAGTAACTTTCTAAAAACTTGGAAATAACAGGGAAGTTCCAAAGAACTGGAAAATACACTGTCAGTGAAGATCTGAGAAATAGGTGCTAGTCATTAGTTTTATGCTCAGTGGGTCTTTTCAAAAGTACCAGGTTCTTTGATAAAAATGTTTCTGACGGGGATAATCCGTTAATGTGTTCTAGCTCTGCAAGGTGCTATATTCCGTAGCACTGACAGCAGTGGTGTGAGATACTTACTTGCTCTTTTCTTCCTCAGGATCTAGTGTCCACACTTTAGAATGCAGTTATATGTTAATAAAGAGGGCAATAGTTCAGAAAATGCACAGAAATTATTTAATAATGTCCGGTTAATCTGCCTTGCCAAGAGAAAGTAAAAAGTCACTATCTTGCTCATAGTGAAAAAGTAAGTTTCGTGTAAGACTGATGAGTGAGATTCTCTGATCAGTGTGCTGCAGGTGCTCTAGCTGCACATTTCAGAATAGTTTGCTGCAATTCTTCAGAATGTGACAAAAAGTCACATAAGGGATAAAAATGTGTTACTGCCAACACAGGTGATGGATGATTACTGTACGTGATGATCAGGGAGAGTGAAGTCTGTGCTGTGGTACCTGGACCTAGACCCCTTTCTCCTATGCTGTATTTGTGTACTGGCATTTCTTAAGGCTCCAAACCAGTATATGGGGAAGGGAAAAACTACTCTACAAACAATCTAATTAGCAGATCTAACGCTACTGCCTTCTTTTCTCTTGTCTGCAGGACAATAAGGTGAACGGTGTGACTTGCTGTACTCGGATGCTGGGCTGCACGTACCTGCATCCTTGGATCCTGCCCAAACCACACGTCAATTCCATTCCACTGACTGTACAAGACGAGCTTCTGCTTCTAGGGAACAAAGCTCTCTGGGAACACCTTTCTTACACAGAGGCTGTCTCGGCCGTGCGCCACCTACACGACCCGCTAGCTGCTGCAAAGAAACTCTGCACTTTAGCCCAAAGCTACGGTTGCCAAGACAACGTGGGTGCAATGGTGGTGTGTCTGAACATCAGTGAGGACAACTGTACATGTGAGATGCACGGCCTCACTCTGCCAGGCCCTGGGGGATTTAGTTCCACCACCACCAAGCCAGCAACCCCTTCATCTAGCAGTGGAATCGCTTCAGAGTTCAGCAGTGAACTGTCTGCTTCTGAGGTTAGCAGCGAGGTGGGCTCCACTGCTTCAGATGAACACAATGCTGTTGGTCTTGATGGCAGTTTGCTACCGCGACAAGAGCGACGTTGCAGCCTACATCCTGTGCCCCCCTCGAGCATCTTTCAGCGCCAGCCTTCCAGTGCCACCTTCTCTAGCAACCAGTCTGACAATGGTCTGGATAGCGATGACGAGCAGCCTGTGGAAGGTGTGATGACAAATGGCAGTAAAGTGGAGGTAGAGGTGGACATCCACTGCTGTAAAGGAAAGGGCCTGGAGTTTGAGCCTCCTGCTGCAGAGCGCGGCTCCTCTGCGCCAGGGCCAGAGGATGACTCTGGGCTTGTCCTCGTCATTCGGAGACAGAACAGTGTAAACAGCAATACTGTGCAGAGGGTGGTCAAGGAAAAGTGTGAACTGCAAAAATCTCTTTCCACATGCTGTCTCTATGGAAAGAAGCTTTCCAATGGCTCCATAGTGCCCTTGGAGGAGAGCCTCAACCTCATCGAAGTAGCCACTGAGGCACCCAAGAAGAAGACAGGCTATTTTGCTGCTCCGTCCCAGATGGAGCCAGAGGATCAATTTGTGGTGCCACCTGATCTGGAGGAGGAAGTGAAGGAACAAATGAAGCAGCAACAGGAGAATGGAGCGGATCAGGAGCAGAAAGAGGAACATGCAGCGACTCTGCCAGAGGAGTTTGACACAGCTTTGTAACCCTACAAGTACTGCTCCCATATCGTCTGTCCCAGGAAGCTCTGTCCCATAAGGGCTGTCTTGCCCTCCAAGGGGAGCTGGGATCTGCAAGGAGTACAGGCATCTGCTGCTTCCTTAATGAAGTCGAGGAAGAATTGGGAGTGCTAAGGTCTGGGCTGTCCACTTGTCACTGTAGAGTCTCAGTTGTTCTATGAGCACTCAGCCCAGCCAGCTGAGCTCGGTGTCAGGGACTGTCTGGAAATCCTGTAAGCACTAGAAGAAGGCAGGTGTTCCAACACCTGCCTGTAACTCCTTGAATCCTGAGGTTCTGCCAGCTCTGCAGGAAAAGGGCTGGCATATGTGTGTGTGTGTGGGGCGAGGAGGCTGCTTGGAGGGGGCAATGTTCAGTGTTTGGAGTCCTGTGAATATGTCTGATGCAGTGCCCTCCCCCCCACCCCCCAGCACCTGACTTTGTTATTCCTTGAAAGAATACAGCCAGTTGCAATGAAGCTGACCCAAGAATGGTTTCCTACATTAATTGCAAGCACTTTTATTGATTGCACTTAAGCTGTTCTGCTCCACTTAAGCCCAGCACTTTATTATTTAGGGTTAGGGGAGAGAGCACTCCACAGCAGGTGTGGTGGGAGCTTTTCCCTATGGACATTGTTAGGGCAGTGGAGGACTCAGGGTACCAGTGTTCTGATGGGCACTGGTGCAGGGTAGAGTGAGGGTTATGATGGGATCAGCCTGTGCAGGATGAGAAAATACACAGCTGAGGGATAAGCAGGTGCCTACTCATGCGTTTTACATGGAGCATAGGAGAGACCAGCTCTGGACCGGCTGATTAAGGTAACAGGTAGAGCTCGTGCTTCTAGTTGCAGAGCACAGACCCAGCTCATCACCATTTTGGCCACCTCCCATCATGAATGCTTCACAGTAGAGGCTTCCCATATCCAGAAGATACGGGATGAAACCAGCAGCTCATGCTTGTTTCAGTGAGGTGCTCAGTCTGAGAGGAAACCAAGTTGTGAGCTGTGGGATGCTGCTCTAAGGCTGGTGAGCAGTGGGGCTGCCTTTCATAATGCTGAGGAAGCATTCAGTGCTCTGTTCCACCAACATCCACCTCTGCACTGTCAGCCATAGCATCTTTGCTTGCCTCTGAAAGCAAGAGTCGCGTTCCAAATCCACAGCAACCTGCTTTTCATGGTACATGCCCAATTCGGCCACAAACAAGGTGAAAGCATACTTGGTTTTGCTTAGCTCTCAATGCAAAAGGAAAGAAATGGAACTTCTCACCTTTAATATCATCTTTATCAGCACTGGAAAAGATGTTTAAAACAGCCCCTCTAATGGTGAACTGGCCGGTCTGCATTTGGCAGATGCGTGGTGTTTCCTTGAGGATTTTTGGTGCAGGGTGTGTTGGCCACCTGTGTCGTCATCTCCTGTGAAAAGACCCCGTGACGTGCAGATCTGTCTTCCTGAGCTGGCAGAGAGCTGCCCAGGTCACGTCAGGGGTGCAGTAATCCTGACTGTAATGTGGGCTAGTGCCTTTTCTTCTTTATTAATTATAGTTATGAAGAAAACTCGACAGTTTCTTCTCAAGAGCTCTGAGTTGTATATTTTTGGATCAAAGTCAGGCCTTGCTCAGAAAGAAATACTGTGCAGACTACTTGTAGGATTCTGTTAATATGGATCTTTTGAGAAAATCTAATTACTGAGATTTCAAAGCACCTTGAATTTCTTCTCACTAGGAACAAAAATAATGTATTTTTACCATGCATGAGAAAGCAACATTTTAGGATATACCTTGTGCTAGTTACAATGTAATCATGAAACAACCCAAAAACTTTTTTCCAGAGTTTAAACTCTAACAAATTTTGGATGTTTAAATGCCCGTTTCATTTGGAAGTGGAGAGAAAAGCTAATTCTTAGAATCGCAGAAACAGCATCATTTGAATCCCTTAGGCAGAGAAACAATAGCAGGAAAGATTAAAAAAAACTAAACCCCAAACATCTTTCATGCTCTCCCCATACAAGTATGCAGAAAAAGCTCATCCCAATGTATTTGACTGTAACTTTTAATTCTGTCACTGATGATAATTTTACCAAATATGTGTGCCCAGCCCAATGCCTTCTGATACCTGCCAGGGATCTGAAGCAGCCCCTGTTGATGTTCAGTGTGGGACTGATGCAGAAATACACTCTTCTTTCTGAGTAAGACTGTGACAAACCTTGCACTAGGAGAGAGGCAGATGTTAATGCAAATCAAGTCTCTCTTTCTTGCACTGATGTGGAAAATCCAGTGTGTCCTTGCCAGTCAAACCAGTAGCATTGCACGGAGAGTTGGCATTGCCACAGGGAGTTACTCATGAAGGGCCCTACCTAGCTCAGTGGGGAAGGACTAAGTAGAACAAAGCTCTGGAGTGGAGCATGCAGATGTCTGAGCTGCTCCTCCTCATGGTGGTGACAGAATGGAATGCAAGGAATTCCTGCTTAGTCTTTTCCGCCGGTGCCATTTCTGGTTTGAAGCAGAAAAGGAGTTTAATAGAGCCAGCTCCTATTTTCCATGGGTGTGAACTGTCATGGCAGAACGTGGCTTGTTCTCTTACACTAGGCAAGAGTCCACGGCGTTCTCTGCTGAAGCAGGTATTATGAACTGTTTGTATTACTGTGGGCAGCACAGCCTGAGTGCTTCCCTCCACCACCACCTTTTCTTTTCCTGCTTCCCTAGAGGCAGCAAGCTTCTCCTTTGTCTTCCTCACCTTACTTACTACCACCACCTTAGATTTCAAGCTGCCTGGGTGCTCTGCTGTAGGTGGAACAGGTATGAATCAGCCAGTCTAGTGAAGGACTCATAGCAGGGGATAGAAAGTGTTTTCCCAGTTCTCTTCCTGTTCTTCAGTCTCTTCCCTGATTTTTGTATGTGGTTCTTGCATCATCTCCACAGAGACACATCACTAAGAATGTCCCAGACTTGCTATTAGAGGGAGGTTCTCAGCTTGGGGTCATCAGGCTCTCTTGTCCCTGCTGAGCAATGCCATGCTCAGCTGGTGAGGTGGTTTGTCCATCTCTTCAGTAATTGTGGCTCTGCTGGTGAGTGTGCTTGCTGAGAACAGGTACTCTAAAGGCAGGACCCATCTGCCCTGCCCTGTCCTGTCCAGAAAGACTGCTGCAAAAGGAACCCTTAGAGGTTTTACTTAGTGATGAGTAGTTGGGGGCTGAGTATTAAGGACGAGGGATAACCTCCCAGTTGCTCCCAGCACCAGGCCTGGTGGAGGCAGCGCCACAGATCGCTAGGACCTGATCAGAATCCTCAGCTAGATGGGAGGGTAAAATCCTGTTCCAAGAAGGAGCAAGTTATTTCCTTTTCTCGGGGACAGGCTGCTGTGAGGTCTGAAATCCTTCTCCCAGGACACAGGACTTTCAGCCATACCTACGGACCTTGGACTTCAGGAGTTCCTGCACTCCTTTCGGATGGTGATGGCTGTCGTGTCACTTGCCAAAGCCCTTCTTCAGGCAGTAGGTTCACCTCTTTTGGTTTTGTGCAGTTGTTGTTTGCTGTTCCATTGCTGTCTGAAGACTCAACTGTATTTTCCCCTCTTTTTTCACATTTTAAAATGTTACCTTTTTTTAAACTTGATTCATATGACCCCCTGCATGTTAAAGGAATACGGCAGTGCAACAACTGTTTATTAAATAATCTTTTTCATGTTTTTTGTTTTAAAAAGGAGACTATTTTCTGTATCCCACTCTAGCATGCACCGACAATAATCCCTGGTTTCTATCATGTATGGGAGTAGGTTGTCCAATGAATGCACCTTCAGCACTGTGGCCTATGTTTGTATTGCTCTGGAGAGGCAAATAACTTAAGATTGCTGGAAAACACTATTCCATTGATTCTTTATTCAGATGTATAGAGCAGTCCAGGAAGGAAGAATATTTTTGCATCAACTTTTCAGCTGACTTAGCAATAAAGATTTTTACTTTCATCTAACTATATATTCTGATTCCGTTACTGCGCTGGAGGGAATTTGTGGAATATCCCAGTCAAACACAGCTGTGGCTCGCAGTAGCGGGGCTGTAGGGTCTCCTTCACTGAGCTCCGTGTGCTACTTCACTCATCAGCCCCCCAAACTAAAGCTACTTGCAGAACACTGTGCGGGTGGAAGTCATAATACCAATTACTAGGCAGTTTTCTGTATCCTGCCAGAGGAATCCTGCCCTGTGAACTGGCTCTAAATAGCACCATACAGCTCTGGAAGCAGCAGCAGCAAGCAGGAAATACAGAATCATTAAAACAGATGGGACCATAGTGCACTATCCACATAAATCCCTTAAACACTCAAAGGCATCCAGCTCCTGAAAGGGAGAAGTCAAACCAACCCCAGAGTACCCGCTGTGTTCCTATTTAGCATTTGCTTTACTTTTTTATCTCTGGCTCTAACAAAATTCCATAGCTTTGGTGAGGATTTAATCACTGGTGCCAGTGAAGCTGCAGATATAGCCAAAACAAAGCACGTTTCTGGGATGTTTAGTTTTATATTTCTGGGATTTTTTATTTTTTTTTTAAATATGGACAGGATGGGTCTGAGAGCAGTAGTGGTTCCATCTTCACAGGGACAGTGCACACAGTGACAGTTCATTCCAAGGCATGATTTTGTGATTCTAGTGCTACTTTTCTTTTCCCTGTTAAATTCCATATAAAACTTTTTTCTTTTTAAATTTCACCTTTTTTTTAATAGATAATACAAGGGTAGTATCTCATTTCCCCAACTTGTACGTTAAAAATGTATTTTGGAAACAATATACTTCTATCTTAAACCACCTGTTTGAGCTCATAAAGCTTTTGTCTGATCATCCCAAATCAGGGCATCTTTTTAAGTTAAAACTGTTCCATCCAGGTTATACAAAAGACTGTTTCACACAAAACTGTGCCCTCTCCAGGAGAGCTGGGAAAGGCGCTGTGTCACAAATTAGGCTGAGCGTATTCATCATTTTCTAAGTTTATTTCCACATTCTCTGATGGCTCTAGAAACGCCAATTTCAAACTGTCCCTTTGGTTCCAAGAAGCCTTCAAGAAAGCAATAGTGAGCTGCCCCAACCGTGGGGCTCCATTGCTCGTTTTTAAGAGCTCTGTTCTCAGTGAACAGTCACTCGTCCTTTGTAAAGACAGTTTCAGCTACACCAAGAAGAAGAATGGAGTGTTGCTTGTAGCAAGGCCTCACTGGAGGCGAACCAGGCCCCGGCCAGAGGGGAGGGAAAGGCGACCTGTGAAGCAGGGACTGTGCTAGTCAACTGTACGGGGACAACCACGCTACCACCAGATGAAGACAAGCCATAATAATAATGCAAATTCAAGTGAGGAACAGCTTGATTGTGCCCTATTTAGAGCTGTGCTTGGGTGTGTGCTCTGCCACAGCGTTACGGATGCGCTGCCCAGAATCAAGGAAAAGCAGCTGCCTCTTCTTGGTAAGGAGCCTGGCAGGAATCACCACCGTTCCTGGAGGGGAGGAATCGTTCTAAAGCTCGTACAATTCTGCTGGCTTCTCTTTCAGTTGGCGGACCCTCCTGTAGCCCCTGGCAGCGAGGCCTGCGCTCAGCAGATAGGCCACCACGGCCATGCAGCCCCAGAGGCCGGCCGCGATCTCTGCCCCGTGCAGGCTGCACTCAAAGCCCCGGTAGCCTTTGCTTCCATAGAGCTGCTCCCTCTCCTTGCACACCGACGAATTATAAACCCCCAGCAGAAAATGGAAGAAGTAGTAGACGGCGGGCACCATCCCAATGGCAATCGCTACGTCCAGGATGCACTCCAGTAGCAGCCACGCTGGGAAACGCCAGGGTAACCGCAGCGCACCAACCAGGATGAGAAGGCAGGAGAGGGCCAGGAGGGACCCCCCCACGGCCATCGCCGCCCTTGCGACCGGCAGCTTTAGCAGGTAGAAACGCTGGTCGAGCTGCTGGGCTTTTTCCCCATCTGCTCCGCTGAAGCCGCTGTAAGCCCCGCCATAGTGGTAGTAGTAGATGCCCCCCAGGCTGGCCAGGCCCGTGTACCCTCCCGTCGAGCCGTAGGACACGGAGCTGCAGACCAGGATCAGCAGGGCCAGCAGGGCTTCCACCAGCTGGCAGCAGGCTGCAAGGGGAAGGGCGGAGGTGGGACGGAGCGGAGGGGCCGCCGAGCCCCGGCGGGACAAAGGAAGGGGGATCTCCCGCAGCCACGACGGCGGCGACGGCCCCGCTCACCCCTGGACGTGCACAGGTACCGGCATCGACCGCACTCCAGCAGCCCCGGTGCGGCCGGACGGCTTCCCGGCGGCCCCCGCCGCCCTGCTCCGGGCACGGCGCTGAGGGGAAACGGCATCAGGGATAGCAGCGCCCCGCCACGGCCGCCTGCCCGCCCCGTCGAGCCCCGTCCCGTCCCATCCGCCACCCAGGACCCTCACCCCCGCCTGCCCGCCCCGTCGAGGCCTGTCCCATCC